CCTGCTGAAAATTGTGTAGCCCGCAATATGAAGTATTTTTTAATGCACCCTGTGGCTTAGTTGTATTCATATCCCATGCTCTGTGCCCCTCCCACCCATAGAAAGCCGGGGGAGCTGCTGGAACAAGATTCAACATGATCCAGCAAAATGATATTAAATTAGCAGAGCCTGGAAGGTTTTTTTTTTCTCTTAGCTTGCTTTTGCTGTGCAATGAGATCCCTGCCTGGGTAATGAGGGGTGAGTTGTAATATGCCCAAGTCTAACCCATGAATATCATCATTGCTGTTTATATTACAACAGCAACAGAAGCCCTCATTTGAGACTGAAGCTGCACGCATGAAGAGATGTAGTTCTTTTCCTCACTTGGTCATATTAAAAGTAAAGTTGCCTTTAGCAGTTAGTTCACTGAGGAGCACAGGCAGAGCTCGCAGAGGTGTGCTTGAGCTTTCTCACATCAGTAGTCACACAGAAGGACACTTTCTACAGTCAGTCCATCTCACAGTTGATATTTTTTGCGGTTCATGCTCTGCTGTTTGAGAGCTTGCAGGGCTCTTCCTCGTTGCCTCAAGTAGGCAGATGAATGAGCTTTTGCAGCTGACTTTTTTTTAACCTCATGCACTAAGTTTTGCACTCTTTCAAGTGTAGGGCGCACGTGATTTTGTTTACTGACCGTAAACTGGGGAGGCAGGGGCCTCCTGCCACTCGGCACCAGGGTTTTCACCCTTTTCTCTCCCGACACGGTTTGCGATTTGGATGCTGACCTCAGGAATGGTTTCCTTTGGAAGAGACGATGCATGCGGCTGTTCCTTGCATGTCGCTACCCATTCTGAACAGTAAAATGCTCTGAATCTCTCCAAGGAGCTACTTCACTTGGTAGCAGTACGCAGGTGATACTATTTTAGGAGGGAGGAGGCAGCTGTGAGGTTATATTATAGTAGAATAGGTCAGAAAATCACTATTTACCTTCAGCTAAAAGTTCGGATGTCTGTTGCATTCATACCTGAATGAAGAGTTTAGTTGCTGAGTTTTGGCCATTTGCCAAATAGCCGAAAGTAATTCCTTAAAAAAAAGAAGTTATTTTTCTTTTTCACCATGGCATGTGGAATCTCCCATTCTTTCCCTCACTGCTATTCTTTCTTGCCTCTTTGCCTCTATGCCTACAAGTTTTCATACAGGAGTTTTCGCCAGTAGATCAAGTACTATTTTCCCATTGGCACAGAGAGAGAAACAGTATGTTCAAGTCAGTCACCAGGCTGACTTCCTCACTAGACCTCACTGATACAGTGATACAACTTGCGATTCTATGAATGACATACATTTTTATTTTCCAGGGTGAAAACAAATCTGAATATTTTTTAGGATTAACACCCATAGGAGTTGTTGTCTACAAGAATAAAAAACAAGTAGGAAAATATTTCTGGTATGTACACTTTAAATGTGCAGTCTGTGCTAAAACAATAACAATGTTGTTGTATGGAAATGTATGATTTGTGATATCTATTTGAAAGGTTAATGTTATAAATTAAAAAAAATGTAGTTGGAATTCGTAATCTTGGTTTGGATTATACAGATTTTTAATTCTTTGATAATCCAAGTATTGCAAAAAGTACTTCACCTTTACCATAGTCATGCTGAAATATTTAAATACTGCTAATTTTCTAGTGATATCTGTTGCATACCTAAAAAAAATAAAATCTACCTGTGAATTCCTTTTTGTCTTTGTATGTAAATATATACAACTTTATACTGTATTATGCATGAAATTAAAGTCTCATGAAGTTCTGTCTGTCTTTTTTTCCATTTTTACAGGCCTAGAATTACAAAAGTTCACTTCAAGGAAACACAGTTTGAACTTAGAGTCCTGGGAAAAGATGTAAGTTTTTATTTAAGCCTGAAAGGAAAAAAAAAAAAGTAATCTCAGGTCTAATGAAGTGGGAAATTTTGTGTGTCCATCAAAGTCTAATTTATTTTATTGACGTTTACTGCAAGAAACCATCAAAGTGAAATTAATTTTATTGATAATTACTGCAAGAAAATTACCTTATCCTCAAGTGTAGTGTGTTCCTGATGGCGCTTGCAGTTTTATTAAAGAAAGAGGAGGAAGAAAGATTTTCTGTCCATGTTTTGCAGGCAATGTTTCATGTTTCAGCAGAACAGTACTGAAGTAGGAATTTTATAACAAACCTTTATCATTTTATATTGTGCTCTGTAAATTAGAGTAGACTCCTGCAATGCCTTGTTTATGGTGTTGCATAGTGCTTTTAAACTAGGCTAAATCTACAGGGAAAGCTAACATTAACCAAAATGTGGATGGAGGAAAACTCACAAAGCTGTGAGGCACATGTAATTTTGTAGCTTGGAAACACAAGCAGCCACATAATATAGCTCGAAACCCATTTGTCAGAGTTTAACATCTTTGTGCTGTTAGACCATTGAAGAGAAAACAATGTTGGTACCAGTGGAGCAAGGATAGCAGGTTGATAGCAAGAGAAGAGGTTTTAAGATAGAGTCAGTGGAAAAAAGAGAAAGATATTTATCACCTGTTGGGCACGTGGGGCAGGGGCGGGAGGAGGATAGTGTTGAGGCTATAGGGAAAATGATGAAGTGTAATAGAACACATAGTTGCAGTCAGTCTGTGGTTTTTGGTATCTGGTTGAGTTATAAGTTTAGTTTGCTGAGTCATTTTTTGAAAATACTTTGTAGGTCTCTCTGGAATATCAGGACTGAAAGTTTATAGTTTTGAAGAAGTATTAACCTGCTGGCAGTATTCCCCTTTACTGATTATCTGTGAATCTTCATTCATCTCTGTAGTGGTTGTTAGTTCATCCACATTTTTCCATGAGGCCATTTGGTACATTAAGCACATTCTGGGAAATGTAAGTGTACCCCTGACTGGTTGTCTTGGTTCTGTCGTGGACAACATTTCTTATGCCTCTGCAGATGTAGTGGCAAGTTTTGCTTTTGTTGCTCCCAAGTGGTTTGTTTCTATTTGGTGTGGTGTTCTATGGGAATTTTATTTCTGATTGTGTGTTTGTTGAAATCGGAGAGTTGTTTGAAGGTGGGGGGAAAGTTGGGAAAACTTTTCTCAGTGTTTCATGTGAAGGGTGAATGCCTGTTCATGTATAAACAAGTCCGAGTTTGACTTAGAGTGAATTGCATTGAAGTGATGCTGTAGTTTCTGCTTGATGCCACATCTATATAGTTTTTGTCTGAACCATGTGGAATCGCAAAGGTTTAATACGCTGAGCAAAAAAACCTGGAAGCTTTGGAAAACGTGCTTAAGTTGAGACTGTGAATGTTGATGGCTGGTGAACTATTGTGATCATAAGGCAAACACTTTGACAGCACTTGGTAATTTCAAGTCTCGACAGGTACTTTTAGGAAATTGTTCAAGAGAACAGTAAGTACAAGGGTGTGTACCATCATTAAAATCTCCTTTGCAATTAATACTCATTTGAAGTGTTTCTACAGTGCTTCATACCCTAACAAGATCAGGAGAGGCCAAAATGGCCCAGAAAAATCTTCCTCTCCCCTTTTTTTAAACATTCTGGTGGTGTTTGAACAAAATTATGTATTGGAATAAGTAAACAGTAGCCTTAGTCTCTGGATTAAAGCCATCGTAACTATTTATGCTGTTCTGCACCCAGAGGAGGAAAAGCTCATCAGTGTATTTATACGACTGTATGTTCCAATACTGCTTGAAAACTTAATTCACAAATTTCTTTTATTCCTCTGTTTTTTTTGAATAAATGCTATCACTTTGTCCTTCCATGTGGCACATGAGTTTGCAGTATATGATAGGAGATTAAACATGCCATTTTTACATCATCCTGCCTCCTGGGATATCACTTTACGGCCCACAGAATTAGTACTTTCCTTGTTTTCAGATGTGGTATACCAAGTCTGGAAGTTACCAAGTATACCAACTTACGTGTTTCCAGTTAGTTGGAGAGAATGCCAGAAAAGATTCAGGAAGAAAAGAAATAATGGAGAATTTCCCATGTCTTAGGCGGAGATTTATTGCATATAGCGAAGGAGTTAACATCACATAATAAGAGCAGATTATTTCTGAGTATATTGAGTGCTTTGTGTGAATCATGTTTTCCATATTGTAGTGAAGACTGTCTGCAGGCTGGATTTTGGTTTGTGTTTTCACACACTAGCTACCTTTATTTACACTGACAGACACCTTTCACGGGTACACCTGCTCATCAAGAGGAAGCTCTTGGTGCTTTTAGTACCGATGAAGTGTTGCTCTTCCCCTGCACAGGGTTACTTGTGGTTAACTTCTTTGTTCTCCCTTTCAATAAATTTGTCTGAGACTTTTCAAACCTGCTGAAAGAATTTGAATGTATACTTCCCACTAAAGATGTGGAAGTGGACATCCTGATCTCCTTGACAGATGGCAGACATGGCGGTCTAAACGTACAGATCCGTGTCCTTAGGCTACCTGAAAAACACACTGTGGGGTGTCTGTGTCAGCCATATTTATGGCTGCTGAGTTTGTTGTTTGCATTGTTTCACTTTTGATAAACTTGAAGATTTACTGAGCAGATTTACTTGTGCTTACTGTCTTAAAATAAAGGTGCTTCACCTTTCCTGTTTTGTAGTGTAATCTCCTGTACTTCTTCGTACTTCTCTTCCATGAGAACATTTCCTGTATATTTAACTTCTTTATATTACTCCTGCATACCTGTTGCTATTGTGTGCAAGCATGACCATCGGTATTTTGGTTTTATCTTTCACTACTTTGTGTTATATGTTTTCTCCCTAAAGCTATTGCTATTGCCCCATCATAAACAAAATACTGCCCTTCATATTTGGCCGTCTGTGACTTATCCTGACATGTGAGACTAATGACCTGGACCAGCTGACAGAAACTTTTTTTCAGTGGTGTTAATCATTGAATCAGTATTTCATTGTCCCCTGAGTAGACCCATGCTGTGAATTCTGAGCTAGAAACATGTTAGGCTTTCCATGAAACCACTAAGTATGAAGTTAGCAAAATTAGGAACCCTTCCCCTGTGAGGACTGCACAGAAGGATTCCCTGAACATGAGAAACAACCGCAAAGAATTTTTGAAGATGAGAAAAGTGTATTTTTGTGCAGTTTCCTTTAAGAAAACTGAGAGATCCATCTGATGCCTGTGCACAATTCCTGGTAGCATAGATGTCTGTTGAGCAACCTTGCTGGAAACGATCCAGCAATACAGGTGGCTGCCAAGGGCCCTCTCCCCCCTCCCGATGCAGCAAAATGGAGCCTAATCACAATGGATGCACTATGTGGAAGTGGATAATTGAAGAGGTGCACAGCACACCTCCTGTGCTTTCCCCGTATGAGGAACACGGCTTGCTTCCTAGATTTCTCTCTCAACTGAGGACATGAAACAAAATAGAGAAGAATATGCTTTGATAGATTGTGTAGACTGGGAACTTATATGTAATAATATGCAGGAGTGAGAGTTGTGGAGCTTTTTTGCCTGTAGGTACCAAGTACTTCTGTGCTGTTCCCCACAACCCCATACTGTTTTCTGTAACAGCACCTTTAACTTTGGTTGCACTGTGTCTGAACATGCAAGTGAATGATTTCACTCCTTCACAGAGTTTATGTGAAGCTTCTGTACTTCTTACTTTTCATGTTTCTCTTTCACCAAACAGAAAATGTTGGATGTGCAAAACACTTGCTTTCATTATTTTTTGTTGTAAGAGAAGGGTCTTTCGGAAGTCTGAAATTTTTGTTTCGAGAGATTTTGAAATTTGCGTTCTTTCAAGCCAGAACAAACCCCCAAACTGTGCAATTAAAAATGATTTACACATTTTCAAGACATGCTTTCCTCTGCAGTCTTGCTTAGTCAGATGAAGAGGCCCAGCTCAGCTGAATTCATAAGGTGAAGTTGGTAAAGACTGTTTTCAGGAGCAATACCAACCACTGAGGCATGCTAGAGGAACTTCAGGGCAATTCCAAAGCAAATATACTCCCTATTCTGGTGGCTGAAACTTGTCTAAATACAAGATTTTTGTGTTCTTTTAAACAGTCTCAGAAAACCCTGGAAATATGCTTTATCTTTTTTAATCTGCTTTTTATAAGTGTCAGAAGTCTGAAAAGTAATTACATTAATAAGGTGGTTCAGCTGTACCCTTTCTTGCCCTGTCACACGCTATATTCCATCTTGAGTTACAAGTTCTAGGCAGGAGCTTTTAATTTGATTTGTTCCTCTCACAGTTTCTTGGGAAGATTAAACAGGTTTGAAGAGATGTTGCTCCCATTCTAAAGTCGAGTTTAGCTTAGATTTCAATTCCAGACAAAAATAGCATTTTGATCTTTATTATGGTTTAAGAATTACAAATGACTGTTGTATCATTTGCATTTGCACCCACTTAAGCCAGAGTGGTAGTGGGGGGTGGAGGTGAGCAAGCACAGTGGTGTTAATACATCATATAGAACTGTTTTGGCCTGTTTCAGTTGATTGGGGGTTTCCTTGCCTTTTCTTAACAGCTTTCTGAGCCATCGTAGAAGGATTGTAAGATTGGTTCAAGGCTTGATAGCAAAATCTTAAGTAATGAACATTGTTGAAGGAGAACTGGGATTAAAATTCCTGCATAAACTTAAATTCATTGCCACTAAGGTGTTAGTGTCGGCTTTTTTTTGTAAGTTCTTCTTTAGTCTTTTCTTTAATTGGTGTAATATGAGGCTGAGATATGTTTGTTTCAATCTTGACATGCTTTATGCAAACTGGCACAGCATTATTAATTTTAATTCCTGACTTGTATAATGTTCTTAAAGATTGACCTTGTGTAACCAGTAATAATACATTGCCTGTTACATAAGCTATGATTGGTATGCATTATGTAAATATATAAAGACAGAATATTT